TAAACAAAATTAAACGCTACCGGAATGACATATTATGAAAATTACGAACTGCAAATAATATACCACTATTTCTCCTAACTTCATTCATAGCAAAGTTCATTCCAAAGTACCAGAATCCTAGTTACTTCTTTGATTTATACTTAAAAAATATGTCTACTGATTATTCGATCATAATGCGAATTATACAGAAACAAATTAATATATAAAATAAGTACTTTATAATAAATAGTTACAATTAATTTCCACTTCCACCGCTTTCTGATTTGGGATTGCAAAAGGAGAAACCTTTCCTTTAGGGGGTCGCCTTTAATAATTTTTAGGTTTGTGACTAAGGAATACAAAGGAACTTTTCCCATTTTCCGCTCACTGCTATCCCTAAACTGGGGTAGGTCATGAAGTTATTATTTCATAGTCGAATGCTGGAATTTAAAATTTTGCAAACACTTGAATTTAGCTGTTTCAGATGCTTTCAAGGGCCTCCTATCTGCGTCATAGAGAGAATTGCGTCACTGCACCATGTAGGTAGGGATTAAAAAATTAAAGAAAACGAATTCTATTATCTATATAAAGATTTTAAAGTTAAAAGTAAATTGGAGTCAAATCAAGGCTATTCCTCAACTATATTAATATTAGCAATCGTGTAAAAGGGGTTTAACACAAAATCAAAACATATCAAAATTAAAATAAGAATTTATAGTAGTACAAATTCTAAAAATAAAAATTAAAAGCAAAAGGGAAAAATATATAAATAATAATTAATCTTCTTTTATTGAAATTCTAATTCCGAACTCATCAAGGGAAAATGAATTAAAGCTTCTATATATATGTAATGGAATACGTCTTTTAAGTTTAAACATGTAAATATAGTTCAGCAGGACATTTAAGGGCCCCCTTAGCCTTCGGGCCCCTATGCGACGGCATTCCTTGCATTTAGTACTACTCCTACTCCATTTTTACTAGAAACAACTATAGCTTACCATTTAGAGAACAGTCTGGATGAAAGGAAGCAAACAGCTTGTCAACTCAAAGAATCTTTTTATGTGGACAACTGTATTATGATTTCTAAAGAAGAGGCAGAAAAATTTATTTCTCAAGTTAAGGAGCTGATGTCTTCAGCACAATTCGAACTACAAGGCTGGGTTACTTCTGAAAAAAGCAAAAAAGCATGGCAGATTCATTTCAGTTCCAGGTCTCTCTTGGGATACTGAAACCGGTGAAACCTTTTTCGGCAGTATGGTTGAAATTCCAGAAAAAAAGATTACTAAAAGAGTTGTGTTATATTTATTGATTCTGGTGGGATAACATGTCCTGTTTCATTGATATCTAAGGTATTGCTGCAAAGCATCTGGAAAAGGAAAATTAATGGGGACAATGTACTGCCAATAGATATATCAAATGCGTTTTTAGGTCAAGGAACTATCTTTACAGAAAGAGTGTAGGATTCCACGGAGACTCATCTTAGGTCCATTTGAAGACTGCCGAATAAGTCTACACTGTTTCTATGATGCCAGTTAATGCTGATTTTACTACTGCTATGCTGCTTTTATTTTCTTACGTTCTGAATTTAATGAGAAGATTTCAGTCAAGTTAGTAACTGGTAAGTCAAGAGTGGTACCTACGAAAGAGATTACAATTCCTAGACTAAAACTGTTAGGAGCTTTGGTCTTATCAAGATTATATAGTCAAGTAGTAGACGGACAGCGTATTTTTGGACTGATTCAACTGCTGCTTTAACTTGGATCCAAAGAGAGAGTTCTTGAAATACGTTTTCCTACAAACGAAGTCACAGAAATAAGAACCCAGCAAATTTGCTTTCCAGAGGTTGTGAGGCTAAGAATTTATTGAAAAGCAAATGGTGGGAAAGCCCAGAATGATTATGGAAGACACAATAATTCTGGCCATTAAGTGAAAAACAAGTCATTGATGAAAATTTGGTTGGATCGGAAGAGAGAAAAACGATAGTCAGTAATGTGAAGCATGGATTAAGTAACTTCACTGAGAAATTACTTTATTTCTTGAAATATACGAAGATTCTTAGAATGCTTGCCTGTATACTTAGTTTCATTAAAAACTGTCAACGAAGAGAAAAAATTATAAAAACTGACCTGACTTATACAAAAGTTCAATCAGCTGAAAAGTTTTGCCGGAAGAAAAATAAAAAATCTTGAAAAACATTCGCAGATCTTGAAAATATTCAGAGATGAAAATGATATTGTTCGACTTCTCTTGGGAAATGGAAGAGGAAAATTTCAAGTGCCCCATATTGTTGCCCGGAAGCCATGGGATTATTCCTCGACTGGTAAGGCAAAAGCATTGTGAACTACAACATGCTGGACTTCGAAATCTGATTATCAAAAGAAGATTACTGGTTTATTTCGATCAATAAATTAGCGAAATAAGTTAGCTTTAGTTGTATTTCATATAAAAGATTCAAAGCAAAGTCTACAAAATCACCCTTTGAGCCCCTTCCTAACCACCTTTGCTGCAGTTTTCGAAGTTTCAGGGATTGATTTCGCAGGCCCTTTGTATCTACGTTCTGGCGAAAAGAAATGGGTTATACTTTTTACCTGTGACATTTACAGGGGTAAAAATAAAAATTAAAAGCAAAAGGGAAAAATATATAAATAATAATTAATCTTCTTTTATTGAAATTCTAATTCCGAAGTCATCAAGGGAAAATGAATTAAAGCTTCTATATATATGTAATGGAATACGTCTTTTAAGTTTAAACATGTAAATATAGTTCAGCAGGACATTTAAGGGCCCCCTTAGCCTTCGGGCCCCTATGCGACGGCATTCCTTGCATTTAGTACTACTCCTACTCCATTTTTACTAGAAACAACTATAGCTTACCATTTAGAGAACAGTCTGGATGAAAGGAAGCAAACAGCTTCACCTTGAATTAGTCAATTCCCTATCTACAGAAGTTTTTATTATGGCTTTAAGAAGATTCTTTGCTAGAAGAGGTGGAGTAAATATAATCTACACTAACAACGGTACAAATTTCATTGGTTCAAACAGTGCTCTAAGAAATTTAGATTGGGAGATCATGTCATTTTCCACTATCAAGAAAATCAAATGGAATTTTAATCCTCCAACAGCCGCTTGGTGGGAGCGCATGATTAGAATGTTGAAAAAGATGCTAAGAATTTTGGGCTCAAAAAAAACTTCACTATGAAAAGTTGGAAACTATTCTATGTGACTACGAAGCTACAATAAACTCTAGGCCAGTTATATGTATTGAAAGCAATTGACTCTCGCTTGTTTCTTACAAAGTATTCCTAGCAGTGAAACAACTGATTTAGACGAAATCGACAGTTAAAAGCCTAAATATAAGATTCCGTTTTGTACAAAAATTAAGGCAGGAATTAAGAATGAGATTTCGGAATTAATATTTAGCAATGCTGATTCAAAAAGGTAAGAGCCGTGAAGGATTTTTAAAAGTTGGGGAAGTCTTTCTCATAGAAACTGATGGCGAGCGTCGTTACTGAAGTCTTTTCTGGTGCAGATGAGCACTCAAGAGTCGCCAGAGTGAGAACAGCTGATGGAAAGAAGTTGAGACCATTCCAGAGACATTAGAAATCAACAGTTCAAACAAGTTACCATTCATTGCTCAACAAGATGAAAGTGCTTCTACGCCCTGTAGCTAATGATTCAGATTCCAGTGAAAATGATGCTTTGTCACCCAAAGTCCAAGATTTTGTCACTAGAGCTGGTCGACGTGTTGAAATTCCCAATAGACTTGATTTATAACTTTCGTTGCAATTTATAGGCATCCTACAAATTACAAGAAGGGTGATTGCTTGAGTAATACCAGCTACAATTCAACTTTTTTTTTTTTAAGCTGTTTTTATTTTGTAAATAAGCTCTATCGTTTTTGTAAATATATTGCTTCTAAATTTTGTAAATATCTGCAATTAAAGTGATTTTTCATATTAAATCCATAGTTATATTCGAATCTTTTATCAATGCATGTATGTGTGAATTATTGTGTTCATGTATGCCAATGTATATGTACGTATGAATGTATGTGTGTGTGTATACACATACATATACAAGTGCATGCATGCATTCCTGAATCCGGTTCCGATAATAGAAGAGTACCTAATATTCAAACTATCTCTATAATTATACTTGGAATCTATTACTATTTTATCAAAGGTATAACGTCTATGCTTACCCAACAAATAAATGAGATATTGCAACGCATATCAGTTTTACGCGAAGATCGGTACTTAATATAACAATATACATGAAAATGTCGGGAAAATGTATTTGTTATTTTACTTAATATTCATCAGCAGTTTACCGGGAAAGTTATTGTTTATAGACACCACAATTCAACAGTATGCCTAAAATTAAACTATGGCTTCTTTTTTCCTTGATGAACAAATAATAAGCATAATGAGTATTTTATAATTTATATTATATATATACATTATAAGAGCAGATCAAGAGAAGAGAGACTATGATTTCCAGAATATATTTAGTTCTTTAAAATTTATGTTTACTATAATTATTCAGCACTTTATACTTATATTAGTATATTCATTTATACTAAAGGAAGCCGTTATTAAATTTGCCAGCGTTTATATTTAAATGTGTGTTATGTTGAAATTAGTGCAATATTTATGAAATTTCAGAGTCTTTATATTTCAACGAGCAGCTGAATATGTTTTTCCATGCTAGAAAAACATTATTTCTAGTTTTAAGATGTATTCATTAAATTGCTGTAATTCTTCATTTTAAGATTGCTTAATACCATGTATTCAAATATATTATGTTTATCTGTTGGAAAGAACAAAAATCCCAACTGATACAACTGTTGGACATTTTTCAGATCTTCAGAAAGACATGTTTTTACTGTGAGTGACAATATTTAGACCTAATTCGTAATAAAACTTTTCTGAGATTGCATAACTATTGGAAAAACACCGCAAATGCTTATTTTTAGCTAAAAATATTACCCTGTATGACTTAGTTATATTTTGTTTATTTAGACTTCGATAAAAAGGACTGGAAATAGCTGCGCCAACTGTAAGACAACAGCAACAACACTTTGGCGGAGAAATCATCATGGAGAACCAGTTTGCAATGCTTGTGGTCTTTATTTCAAGTTGCATAACGTAAGTTAAATACTAGTTCTAGTATAACACAAAAGCATCACACTGTTGCACTTAACAACAGTCCAAAAGTAATTTTCCAAGAAATATTACTTTGACAAAATTTATTTAAATGTAGTGTAATGTCTATTAAGTTTTATGAACATTAGCTTAATTTTTAATGCAGTTTTTATGAAGATACAGGCATTTGCCTAAGCGTGAAGAGGGTTATTTTATTGCTCATCATTTTATGAGACTAACAATAAAAAGTATCTGATAAATTATGATGTTCTAGACAAGGAGCAATAATACCAAAATTGTTTTGACATTCTGGTCACGCTGAAAGTGGGTAACTAGGTATTCCTTCAGAGCTGGAAGGGGTAAAATTATTTAGAACTGTACGGGGAATTAGTGCAAAGTATTTATTTGGAAATTTTTCAAGAATTATTCCTATTAGAAGCCTTTTCAGGATAAGTGTTACAAGGTATTTTCGCCCTCCTTTCTGCATGCCTTCGTGGTGTAACGGTAGCATACTTGGCACGTACTTGAGAGGTCCAGGTTCGAGTCCCAGCGAGGGCATTGCACATTTTTCACGTCTTTCTGCTTTTTTTTTTTTTTAAAAAAAAAAAAAAACCTAATGTCTCTATAGTGTTATCATGGAAAGGTAATACAGCTTTCATCAGCCACCCATGACGATGACATGTGATGCAACTTTTTTAGTGTTGCATGATATGCAATTGCATTAATTTCTTTCGAGTAAATCGACTAACAACATACATTTTTTTATCCCGAAACACAATAGCCATCGTTTACCAACATTTACCAAGTAGACGTCTTTGCCCTGTGCTGCTAACGAAAGGTAATTTACTTTTCCAAATTACGCTTGCTTTGATTTGGCAAACATTTCAGTAGGAGCTCTATCGTATGTCTTGATTGTGTATGTGAGCAAAACATTGTCTTAGGACCCCAAGCTTCCTAAAATTGTGAACTTCACACTTTCTGTGCATTGTGTGATCCGAAGCTGGCATCAAATTGTATTAAATTCTTTTTGGTCTTCAAATTTTACATCCGTAGACAATGGTGTTTCTTGCTTACAGGAATACAGTTTTCAATTTTGGCTTAAGATTTCAGAGCAAGAAAGATAAAAACCTGGAATAGCATGGTGGTTCAGCATCAGAACTTCACATTTATGAAATAAACATTAAGAAATTTATCCCAAGTTTAGGAAAATGCCTCAATCATCGTCATGAATGCTTGGAAATTTAAAATGCCTTTCATAGAACACAGAATGCTGTACATCACATCCAAATAAATTTTATTTTTTATGTAATACTTCTATAACTTTAATTTTGGGGAGCATTTATATTAGTTTATCAGTGTCATTAGCAACGCTATCTCTGGTACACTGCGGGGAGGGGGAGAACAGCTCAATATCTTCCGTTCTATTGGGCTGATTCACGAAATTCAAATTGTCTTTTTCATGTCTCGAAAGCGCAACTTAGGGTATATATTAGATTTATATATAGCAATTGCAATAACACATTGTATTTTGATACAAAATCGAACTTTTTTTTTTCCCTGGCCTACCAGCGGCCGAGAGGTAAAGTCGCTGAACACTGGTAGTTCGGTCCCGCGAACGGACTGGCTGCATGGGCGTTTTCGTGGTTTTCCCCGTATGTAACGTGTATACGAACCACTTTCCCTTGGAAAGCCCTCCACGAAGGCATTCCTCCCCTTAGGCAGATAGCCCTCGAGGCTTTGCCGTAATCACACACACACACAGACTTTTTCTGAAATAACATACCAGTTTTTCTATATTTCGATTCTACGACTCAATATGCCTAGATATTAAATTTTGTAATTTTTGGTGAGAAATTTAAAAATTTATCTTGGCGGATTTTTTTCAGTTTGCGCCAAGAATAATTCATTTATCGAAATTCTTAATTTATAGCAACTTATATTCCTTTCCTTTTTTTCATTATCCATAAGCGGGAAAAAAGTCATCGTTCATACTTTCAAATAATTTTAACAGAATGCGTAAACCATCGCTATTATCGCTTTTTTTCGCTATTATCGCTTATAATAAATACGCCAAATTTCAAATAAAAAAACTCTATTTTTTTAGTGTGTGCCTAGAAGCACATGTATTATAAGATGATGTTAAAAATTTGAGATAATCAAATTCTGTGCGATTTAACTAACTGGTAACACATTTTTCGAAAATTCAATTAAATTAACAGATGATAGACAAATACATGAACCGATCAGAGGATTTGGTTAAATAAACATCCACAAATAAGTAGACTAAAAGAGAAACACGTTAATGTGACAATCAAAATTGTAAAAACAACCTTGTATTTAGCGTAAGTATATTGAAACACTCAATCGATGTCGAGGGCAGCTAAAGGTCCCTCCTCATCAGGAGAAAGAAATACCTTGAAAGAAGAAAAATAAAGGGGAAGGAGTCTCAGAAACACGTGATCCTTATCAGCACTGCACGTGGTTATAGCCGGATTTTTAATCAGAGTTACACTGGCCGCCTACTTTTACTGAGCCAGGCTATCTGATCAAACATGTAACACAAAGGACAAGAAAAATTAGCGAAGTTAAAAATAGGGAGCGAGGGGCAACTGCACCTTCACGCTCAAAATCTGAACTTCGAATAATAGAAAGCAACAACTGAACAAATTTATACCCTCTGGTATTACCAAACGCGAGGAGGTAACGCCATCTATCGGCAAAAATAACTGAATTAAGATAGTAGAATTTTAAAGGCATTAGGAAGGACTGGATTAGACTTCAAATCATTAACTAAACCTGCTAAATCTTTGTTAATATGAAAAGCCTCAAGAAAATCCAGTTCACCTATGGAAAGAAGCCTTTTGGATAATTTTTGTAGACCCAAAGTCAAAATTATGGTTAAATGTCCAACTATGATACGCTGTTGAAGACTTGTTAATTTCGCCTCTTCTGACATAAGATTCATGTTCCTTGATATGAAACTTCAACGCTCTTTTTGTTTGGCCAATATATCATAAACCACACTGACACGATATACTATAAATTCCCCAAGAATTCAAGACAGAAACGCAATCTTTTAGAATCGAGGGGTGAATTTTATTAATAGGGAAGAAACCGACTTGAAAATTGAATTTCTGGAGAATCCGTGCAATTTTATAGCTAACAGAAGGATACAATGGAAGCACGACAAGGTCATTAATATTATTTCTAACAGTGGAATGTCTTCTTTGATGGGAATCAGAAAATTTTTAACGGCTTTATCAATAATCACGGGAGAAAATCCACGGTCAATCGCAACTGCTCTCGAATAATTAAGTTCATTGGTAAGCAAAGATTCAGAGGAACAAACTTTAAGCGCGCGGAATACATAATAGTAAAAAGAAGCCATTTTTTTGCTTAACAGGGTGGCATGACTTGGCATGGGGTGGTAAACAAACTGCAAAGGGTTTACGGTACACAGTGGTGCTAAAATCAGTTTCATTGCGGATTATAAGAATATCAAGTAAGGGGAGAGAATTGTTGGATTCAATTTCAAGAGTGAATTGGATGGCTGGATCAATTGAATTCATAATAGATAGAATCTCGGATAAATCCTCTTTATAACCGTCAAAAAGTGCGAAAGTGTCGTCAACATACCGTATCCAAAGACGAAAAAATAGTTTATCAAATAATTTCATCTCAAAATAGTGCATATAAATGTCAGCAAGTACCGGACTGAGAGGATTACCCATAGCCAATCCTTCAACTTGACGAAAATATGCATTTTGGAAAACAAAGTAGGTTTGACTTAGAGAGACTTTAGTAAGCGAAACCAACTCATTAATTTCAGTATGTGTGAAGTGAAATTCCCGAAGCCTAGTTTCAAGACAATTTAGTGCTCCTTCGACCGGAACATTAGTAAACAGTGATTTGACATCAAATGAAACCATAATGGAACGAAGTGGAGAAATATTTTCAAGTTTATCAATGACTTCAACAGAATTTTTTACAGTGGAAATATTGTTAGCAAGTAGAGGAGAAAATCTGGAAACTAAATATTTGGCCAAAGGATATGAAACAGTACCTATGTTGGAAAAAAATTGGTCGAAAAGGAATACCGGTTTTGTGGACTTTTGGGAGAGCATAAAGCCTAGCGCAATTAGTAATAGGTGGAATAAGTGATTTCTTCAACTGGTTTGGCAGAATATGAGAAGATTTGATAGCACTTTTAACTTTCGTGAGGTCCGAAGTTGAAGGATCTTTAGGGATCGAGCAGTATGGGTCTTCATTTATCAGTTTAGAGACTCCAGTAATACATGTGTGTTTGTCCATAACAACAATCTGTCCGCCCTTATCAGCTTTAGAGATAATGATATTAGTATCAGAATGAATTTCACGTAAGATCTCATTTTTCTTTTTGCTAAGAACCCGAAGATTTGTAGTTAAAATTAACGTTATGAGTAATTAGGTGGCGGATTGTATCCTTCTGCGTTTCCGAAATTTTGGAGAATTTAAAGGCTTTCTCTATAGGGGCGATGATTTGAGGAATTGAAGGTTTAGATGCATTTGAAAAGTTGAAATTATATTTTAATACTTTATAGTGATCCTCCGAAAGATTCCTATTGGAGATATTAACGATGGGGTTAACGTTTACAGTGGGAAGATCAGCTAGATAGGTGGGACTATCCGACTGGTGTGTGAGCTTAAGGAATTTAGAAATAAGCACATTTTTATGCCGTTGACAAACGGTATCGGTTCTAGACCAGGATGTATGTTTAAATGAGGAAAAATTTTCAGTTGAATTAGCAATTTTTAAATGGAGGTAATATAATTCAAATTCAATTTTAGATAAACGTTTGCTCGTGTTCCTTATAATATGACGCAGAAGTGCCAATTTGAATCTATGCAAAATTTTTGAAACGTGAACGGAAGCTTTAAGGCTACATTTCACATCTATAAATTTGGGAATGATATTTTGATGTTTGCATTTAAGTAGAAACTGTAGATGATCAAGAATTTCGTAC